ACCCCATGGGAGAGCCACCAGTACTCGGTTGCAGAGGGCGGGGCTCTGACATCAGCTGTGATGTCATCACAGCGCAGTGAATGATGTCAGAGACGGAGCGAGGCCTTATGCAATCTATAGGGACCCCACCTATGGGGATCCCCGTGGAGATCCATGGGGGATCCTGGCCCCATGGTGAACCCTATGGGCTTCTGTAGGTTCTCCAGACCCTGTGGGTGTCGCCGGGTGGGGTCTAAAGGGGGTCCTGGCCCTATAGCAACTCCCCATGGGGATCTATAGGGGGATCTTGGCCCTCGAAGGATTCCTATAGGATCCCCAGGTCACCGAGGCCTTATGGAATGGGTCCTGGCCCTATAGTGCCCCCCCACGGGGATCTATAGGGGCATCCTGGCCCCACGGTGAACCCTATGGGCTTCTGTAGGTTCTCCAGACCCTGTGGGGGTCTCCAGGGGGGTCTATAGGGGGTCCTGGCTCTATAGCAACCCCTCCATGGGTATCTAGGGGATCCAGGCCCTATGGGGATCCCTGTGGGCTTCTATAGGGGATCCAGGGCCTGTATGGATCGAGATGGGGGTCTATAGGTGATCGAGACCCCACAGAGGTCTGCAGAGGGTCCAGGCCCTGTGGGGATCCCTACGGGGATCTGTAGGGGTCTATAGGGGAATCCAGCCCCTATGGGGGCTACTGGGGGAGGTCTATAGGGTGTGAAGGTCCCTACGCAGGTCTATAGGAGGACCAGGCTCTACAGGAATCCATACAGGGCTCCATAGGGGATCCCAGACCTATGGGGAACCCCATGAGGATCTATAAGGCACCTAGGACCCACAGGGGTCTATAGGGGGTCTCAGCCCCTTATGGGGATCCCTCTGAGGGTCTATAGGGGATCGTGGCCCTATGGGAGTCTATAGGGTACCTATGGGGCTCTACAGGGGATCTGAGCCCTACGGGGGTCTCCATGGAGGTCTACAGGACTTCGGAACCTATGGGGGGTTCCTATAGGGGTCTATAGGGGTCTGCAGCCATATAGGGGTCCCAATGGGGGTCTGCTGGGATCCCAGCCCCACAGGAGTCCCTATGGGGTTCTATAGGGGATCTCAAAACTATGGGGGTCCCTATGGGGATCCCAGCATTACGGTGGGCCCTGTGGGGTCTATATGGGATCAGAGGACTATGGGTCTCCCTATGGGGTCTATAGGGGATCTTAGCACTATGGGGGTCCCTATGCAGTCTATAGGGGATCCCGGCTCCAGCGGAGTCTCTTATGGGGTCTATAGGGGACCCTGGCCCCAGGGGGGTTCCTATGGGGTCTATAGGGGATCCCAGCACTATGGGGGTCCCCATGGGGTTCTATAGAGGACCTCGGCCGCAGCGGGGTCCCTATGGGGTCTATAGGGGCTTCCAGCGCTAAGGGGGTTCCTATGGGGTCCATAGGGGAGCCCAACCCTACAGGGCTCCCTATGGGGCCCGTAGAGGACCCCAGCACTATGGGGGTCCCTGTGGGATTCTATAGGAGATCCCAGAACTATGAGGGTCCCTATGGGAGCTATAGAGGATCCCAGCACAGTGGTGGCTCTCTATGGGGTCTATAGGGGATCCCTGCTCCAGCGGGCTCCCTGTGGGGTCTATATGGGACCCTGGCCCCAGGGGAGGCCCTGTAGGGTCTATAGGGGAGCCCAGCACTATGGGGGTCCCCATGGGGTTCTATAGGGGACCTTGGCCCAGGGGGGTCCCTGTGGGGTCTACAGGGGATCCCAGCACTATGAGGCTCCCTATGGGGTCTATAGGAGATCCCAGACTCAGGGGGGTCCCTATGGGGTTCTATAGGGGATCCCAGCACTACGGGGGTCCCTATGGGGGTCTATAGGGGACCTCGGCCCCAAGGGGGTCCCTATGGGGTCTATAATGGATCCCGGCCCCAGCAGGGTCCCTATGGGGTCTACAGGGAATCCCAGTGCTATGGGGCTCCCCTTGGGGTCTATAGGGGATCCCGGCCCCAGGGGGCTCCCTATGGGGCCTACAGGGGATCCCATCACTACAGGGGTCCCTTAGAGATTCTATAGGAGATATAGGGGATCCCGGCTCCAGCGGAGTCTCTTATGGGGTCTATAGGGGACCCTGGCCCCAGGGGGGTTCCTATGGGGTCTATAGGGGATCCCAGCACTATGGGGGTCCCTGTGGGGGTCTATAAAGGATCCCAGTGCTACTGGGCTCCCCATGGGGTCTATAGGGGATCACAGCACTAAGGGGCTCCCTATAGGGTCTATAGGGGATCCCGGCCCCAGTAGCATCCTTATGGAGTCTATAGGGTACCCCAGCTCCAGGTGGGTCCCTATGGGGTCTAGACGGTGTCCCAGGGCTAAGGGGGTCCCTATGGGGTCTATAAGGGATGCCAGCACTATGGGGCTCCCCATGGGTTCTATAGGGGATCCCAGCCGCAGGGGGCTCCCCATGGGGTCCATAGGGGATCCCAGCACTATGAGGCTCCCTATGGGGTCTATAGGGGTTCCCAGCCCCATGGGGGTCCCTAAGGGGTTCTATAGAGGATCCCAGCACTACAGTGGCTCCCTATGGGGTCTATAGGGAATCCCAGCACTACGAGGCTCCCTAAGGGGTCTATAGTGGATCCCAGCACTATGAGGGTCCCTATGGGAGCTATAGGGGATCCCGGCCCTGGGGGGTCCCCATGGGGTCTATAGGGGGTCCCATCCCCAGTGGCCTCCCTATGGGGTCTATAGGGCATCCCAGCCCCAGGGGGGTCTCTATGGGGTCTATAGGGGATCCCAGCT